AGGGCATACCCTTCCATCTGCGCTTCGTACAAGCGCCCTTAGGCAAGATCTTCCTTCCGCACTAGACCTTGCTACTGATCTCTTCACGTTGCAAGCTCAGAACGCTGTGCGGACAGCAGCAGAGAAGGTTCACGAAGAAGACTCTGCACGTCTTTTCAAAGGTCTCGAGGGTATGCGGAAGTATCTATCCATGCTTCATGGGCGAAGTGATCTGGTATTGTTGAAGAGAGCGATAGAGAATTTGCAAGCGGGGAGGGAGTGGAACAGCGACAATTTGATGGGGGAGCTGAGCCTTGAGGGCACTCTTGACACGTGATAGATTGAGCGAGAGCTGTAGCAAGTCCTTATCATAGCTACGAGTAGTGTATAAAATGTCAAGTATTCTTTTCGCCGTACGACGGAACGCCATTCAGCCCCTACGAGTTCTTGACATCATGTGAGTAGCTCATGCATTGCGGGTAATGTTGGTAGACCTGGTACAAACTTCAGTGCATCATTGCCCCTCAATGCGTTCAGACCGAGATGCATGAGTGCGACCATGAAGCGAGACATATCCATGAGAAGTCGGTGTTGCACACAGTCCTGTCGTGCCTATCTCCTCGTGGTCCCTCCGTGCACACATCTGATGAGCAGCGTCGCAGGCATATGTTCGCATACTGTAATGCTTATCAAGTACTATATAAACAGGCCCGCTCCAGCCCACATAAATTTCGACGTCTCCTCATTGAACTGCAACGTTCACCTCCTCTGAGCGACCCTCATGGCTACTTACCATTGCCGTGGAACTTGCAAGAACGGAACACCATGCGGAAACCATGCGACACGGGTTGTTGGCATAGACGATACCGGCTTGTCAAAGGCGATGGACACTACCCCAAACCGTTGCGCAAAGCATGTCGACCAAAAGAACGACTACAAGACCCCGACCAGAAAGCCAACACCACCAAGTTCCAAGAAGCCCCTCGCAGCATCAAGCTTATCCAGCTTCATGCCGTCTTCTCCCGGCAATAAAAAGAAGACGACAACCGAGCAGAAACGCAAACCATCAACAAGTATCTCCATCATCAGCAACACCAGCAGCGACGATGAACTAGCCTTCGAAGCCGTCGATACGCCAAAGCCCAAGGGAATCATGAAGCGTTCTACGCCAAAGCCAGAGAAGGACACCGTCAAGCCCAACGAATCTGTCAGTACTAGACGCTTCGCCTCCAAGCGCCCCGTTGTACTTGATTCTGGAGATGAAGACGAGGTCACACCTCAGCCTCCATCGCGCAAACGAGTCCAGTTCCCAAGTCCGACCCCGTCCCGATATGGCACCGTCTCCGACCGACTCAAAGCTGTTGTTGATGACACTGCTAATGCCGCTAAACCAAACGCAATCCGAGACGCCCTTGCTACCACGCCTTCAAAGGTTGCGAAGCCCACCACCGTCGCATCTTCCTCGACCAAAGGCAAGAAGCCGACAAACCAAGCCATCAGCAACGCACTCCAGAAATCTTTCCCTCCGCCTTCCAACGACGGTAAGAAGGATATCCCAGTAGTTGCTTCATCCTCCCGACCTCCAACTCCGACGACGAGACCCGGCAAGCAGTCCGCCGCCAAGAAGCCAGCCACCAAGACTGTTAGTCGAGTACGGAGCCCGGAGATGGGAGAATCTTCGTCGCATCCGATCCCATCAATCGAAAGAGCCGGCACCTCGCCCCCAGCCCGTCCACTTCCCGCCGCTACCCCTACCCGCAAGTCCCCCCGTACGCGCTACATTCAGCCCGAACTCCGGGTCCTCGATGGAGCACCAGTTCCTCTTCTTCCCAACGACCCTACCCTCGGTGCGCAAATGGAAAGTGTGCGTCGATCGGGTCTTCAGAACGCTGAGGACATACGTAAGTTGCTGCTCCGGGTTGAGGTGTTGGAGAAGGCGCTAGAGATGGTGGCTGGGGCGGATAAACCGAAGCATCGGAAGCGTGAGCAGATACAGAAGGAGAAAGGTAAAGAGAAGAACATTGAGGATGAATTCATCTTCACTTGATGTCGCAATGGTGGTGGAAGAGACGGGAATGGGGAGGTTAGAGTGAGAAGATGCGGTCGCTGGTGTGAAGTGGAATTGAGCGTCTGTGATAGGGCGGGAAATGATGTATTGCTCGAAGGATGGAGGCGACCTTGGGTATATGTATTGGATAGCGCAGTAGATGGTATGAAAGATCGAAAACTGGACTTGATGTCAATCTTGTATGCAAACGTACGCCCGCGGAACATTAGCGATGGACCATGGTAGCATAGTTCTCATACATACCATTGTCCCAAGAGTATCCCTCCGTCTTCCGCCCAGCCTCATAGCTCATTGCCATTGCCAGCCCCTCCATCTCCTTCAACTTCCTCATCCTGGTGATTAGCCATGTCCTCGACCTCTCTACCCACCAGCCTTATTCTCGCATCCATCCCACGACCCCACCGCCCCACCCAGCGTCCAAAATCTTGAGCCACCTCACTAACAATCTGGCCTGGGGTCGGGTCCTTAGGTGCAGGGTTGCCTAGGCCAACGACATCGTTCATCCAGGCATTGAGGTTGGTGAGAGAGCGGTCAACAGGGCCCAAGGCACGTTCGGCGCGAGCGGTCCAGTTCTCTTGGTCTAGCGCGACGACGGCGTCTTGCTGCTGGCGAGACGGTGATGGTGGTGATGATTGTGGTGGAGACGGTGATGGCGGTGATGATGTTGGTGGAGACGGTGAGGCTGAATTGAGTAGTACATTTGCAGGCGGGTCGTTGTAGTGCTGACGTTTGGTGGTGCGGTCTTCCAATCCTGTCTGTGGTTGCTTACGCTTTTCGCCATAACTTGGCTGCGGGGATGACGTTGAAGCAGCGTCTTGCTCTATGTCGTCATTGCTTACTTCTCCGCCTTCAGCTGGGTGTGTTGCAGCATCCACTTCATCCTCGCTTTGAGGATCCGTTTCAGCATCTTCATTTGCATCGACAAATTCATCGTCATCTTCGTCCGCATCATCTTCCTTCTCTTCCGCTCCAACCAACCCACTCGCCCCCATCTGGGCTTTTCGCTCATCGTGGGCGGCCAAAAGAATCGCTCGATCGACCTTCTTGGAGGGCATTGGTGTAGGCTTCAGCTTGCGCCTGTTGATTTCTCGTCGTAAGTTGTCGGACGTCCATGCCATGTACGCTTCCATTTTCGGGTACGTGGCGATTGTTCAATATCAGGAAACGCCGAAGTGTAATGGGGAAGGCATCGAGCTTGGTTATATGTCGAGCTTGGTTATATGTCGAGCTTGCGCTTGCTCAAGCGGGTTTGCTGTCCTTTGTTTACGTCACATCGAAGGGCCTGTCACATGCTGGAAACAGGATCGTGCCGAAGACCGTGGTGCTGGACGACTGCGACATGTGTTCGGCAACGATGAGATATATCGGACATCAATTTCCATTGTGGGTCAACATTGAGATGCGTACAGTAATGCTCGACGACATGAAAAAGACCTTGCCTATGGCAAGTGACATGTCGCGATGCACCCATCCCTCGACAAGCAAGAACCGAGAACACACTAGACCCGGAAACTTGAAAGGGTCTCAAGTCGGTCGGATGGGCACGTGTATCAGGCCTCATGGCAGAACGTCGTTGCCAGTATCGATATGGGGCTTCATGTCGGCAGACCCAATGCTGACGCCTTGACGAACCTGCTTGCCGACCTTCCATATCCATTGCTTCTTGTCCTCTGCATCCATATCTTTGGTGTGCGCCGGAAGTGTGTTGGTCCATGCCTGGGGGTTGACCGCTGCCAAGTAATGATCTAGATCGTGCTTCGACATGCTCAGTACGTCTTGCTCTCCCTTCAGAGCTACAAATAACTGATTCATCCAAGTTATCTGAGGTTTCTTCTTGTAGTAGTCGGTAGCATCACAGGATGCTGCAAAGATCTCGTGGCACACTTCCGACGGCAGTGGTTTTGTCCAAGCCTCGTACGCGTCGAATATTGCGTTGCCGAGTGAATCGTTGAGAGGGCGAATACCGGAAGCGAGACTAGAGGCGACATTATCGTGATAGATCCGTGCAGCGTCGCGGACGGTGTTGTGGAGATGATCCAACACGGCCTGGTCTTGGTGGGCGTTATGCATGTCAGGTGATAGGAATGTGGACATGTTGTGGTTCTTCCAGATCTTCCATGAGCGGTATGGGCGGCAAATCCTGGAGCAAGTATCAGACATAGCAGCAGCGGTTGTAGTCTGGAGGCGATGAAACTGTGCGGTGTGGTGGAGAGTCAGGTCGTGTAGTGACAAAGCGCGGGAGTTGATAAGCCCAAGACGCCTGTCGATAGCTTTGGCACCAAAGGCTGGACCATCTGAGCGCAGCTCAATGGACAGTCGGACTGTCAGAGGCGGGATGTGGCTGCTCCGTATATTGAGCATTGTGAAACTCGCAGGATCGGTGCATTCATCGCTAGGGAGAGATACGTCGGGGCATGCGATGAGAGGGCAAGTACAAGACGGCTTGCCTATTGACCAGATGGGCTGTGCAAGGACCGCAAGGACCACGCCCAAGAGGCAGATGAGCAAGACGAGGACCCTGCTGCACCATCCGGTCGAGCGACGTCGCGAAAAGTTTGGCGTCTTGCCCCTCGCCCTGTGTATCTATTAGCCCCCATTCCCGAGTCGTAGTCGTCTCTATTTACGTGTGACTCTCGCGTGGGCGTAGACCTGTGTCCATGATCGATGTTTCGTGCGACGCGTTGGCTGTACTTGATTGGCGCGGCTGCACTTGTTCGGGCAGTCGAGATCGAGGAAGGTCGAAACGTGATGGAACAAAGGGAAGGAGGAAGATTAAAGAGCTTTGAGTTTTGGGGTGTCGGCATACAGTTTTTCTTTGTGTAACGTTCCGAGGTTTGTTTGCTCTCTCAACCCCACGCGAACTTTGGCAACCATCGACCGTTGTTACATTGGCGTGAGGAGCGAGCTTCTGAACTTGTCGAGTCGGAAGACATCTATCGAGCAATCTTTTGAAATGGCGCATCAAACGTCGAGTAGAGCCTGGGTGACAGTCGTCACGCGAGATGAGGCTGGCAAGGTGATGAGCGAAACGCGACGATTCATGAGGCTCAGCAATGGTGCGTCTGGCTCCATACCCCCGTCTAATCTCGGATCAAACGAGTACTGACTTCTCCATTCCAGTGGAGCGCTTCTGCTTGGACAGCATCGTACACCGCGCAAATGCTCCAGCTGCTCGGCCATCCTCCAAATACCGCCGCCGCACGAGAAGCGAGCCAAGCTTACCCTCTCGAGATATTCACGAAGCCACACGCAGTGTATCGGGCGCGAGGCCTTCGGAGGAGCGGCGCAGACATAAGCTGGGAAGGCGGATAAGAAATGTGGTCAAACGCCACGGGCGGAAGGTGGCAGCAGCAGCAGCTGTGGTCGGCGTCGTCGGCTGCATCGGCTGCATCGGCTGGGGTCTTTACTCTTGCTTGACTGCTGCACAGCCCGCGATAGCACCCATCGCAAAGAACGCCTACACTCTGCTGAGCATGCCGGAGCCTCTTGACGACCGATGGGTTCCTCCGCTGGTGCAGGTACGCAAGTACTGGCGAGAAGCGAACCGATCGTGGAACGAGCGGATGTGGCAGGCACGCGGACTGCCAGACGCAGAGACAGGTCAGCGGGTATGGGAGCTCATGCGAGAGGCTTTCGAGCGCTTCGAGTCGTATTGGGAGGACCCCAAATCAAGAAGGGAAAAATATGGGCAGGCAGGCGGTACGCTGCACTCTGTCCTTGCGCGAGACCCGACATATAAAAAAGCAAGAGCGCTGTTGGCGGATACCTGTGTCGGAAAGAGGACTCTGCTGCAGGCGTTGACCAACGACGCCTCCAGAGCCTGGAGCGCTGCCTTGGGAAAGACAGCGGGGTCACAAGACACTACTCTTGCGGCACTGCAGGAGGCATGCCCCTGGACCTTGCGAATGTACCTGCAGCCGTATGCTCCGTCGCGCATCCCGCCTGCCTGCGTAGACCGATACTATCCCGAGACTCCAAGCATCAAAGCGATGAAGAAGACTACACCAGGTGTTCCGTTACAATTTCTGCACGCGCTGGGCCGGCAATGTGACTACCCCTGGTGGATATTGCCTGATTATTACTGGCTGATCAAATTGTGGGGGAGAATGTTCCCAGAACCGAGATGGTGGGCAGACGAGAAGGTCGAAGCCTTGGGCAAGTTTGGCAAGGGCTGGGTTGTGCATAGCGACATTCGGTATGTCATCGGCCGAGAAGAGAACCTGGGTCAAACTAGAATGCGATTGTAGAGGGTGGCTGAGGTCGCGGCTGGTGCGTACAGACTGACGAGATCGAGTCCGTGTGCTAGTCCGCATGGAGACTGGATCGGGTATCGGCTCACCGAAGCTCCGACGCTGCCGCCGCAAGGTAGCCGCGCGCCATCATGTAAAATACGGTAATACCTCAGATAAGCCTTTTGCATTCGCAATGTCGTCGCATCTGAAGCATGCTGCTCTTTGTCGTGCAACCATTCTTGATGCCAAATCTGATGATATCGTTTCTTGCCCGCACGTCTCCGAAGAGGCCCATCGACCCGCTGATACGTGACAACAACTAACGTGCGAACTCACCCACCATCTGCTAACGATCAAAGCTTCAATCAATCCCCGAGCAACGCCGACATATACAAGCCTTCGAGCGGGCTTGCGACCCGGCCACCGACTCAGACGCCATAATGACACTACCCATGCACCCGACAGTCACCCCACGCCGAACGACGTCGTATCGCGAATACGACATCGGCCACGAGCTGCCTCGGCAAGCAGGACTCTGACGCAGTCTGAAGGAGCCCTCCAAAAGCAACTGCAGACGTTCAACGCGCCCAATGACGGCATCGCGTATCATGAGACTTACAATGCAAGTCGGCGCGTCTCACCACGCGGCCTGATCATGTTCAGGGTCAGAGGCATACACACATTTTGTCACTGCGCTGAACAGGCTGAGCTTGACGACCCCGGTTGATAGTTGGAGAGCGATCAGACTGTGTCTTCTGCATGCCGTGGAAAGCGTTCTGGATCAGATGGCTTGCCCAGACAACACTCGAGCGCTGCATGCCGCTGTGTCGGTTTCATGGCATGGTATGTCGTCTCGTTCTCTCTAGGCACATTCTTCATTAACATCGTCTCAGCATCCACTCCATTCTCACTTGCTCGTACCGCCTCCGAGGTCGTGCATCGTCCCCCGTGAACACGCTCATCGATAGCTACCCTTCGAACGATCCATCATCCGCATGACCCCGCCCGCAGGCGACGTCGAAGAGCCCCGCGCTACACAGTCAACCGTGAAGGCCACGGAGAATACAAGCTGCATATGGGTGGAGGTGGGGTATGAACAGGGAAGCTCGGTGGGCACTGGATTGCCTTGTGCCGCAGAAACTCTCCCGCCACACCAAAATGGGGTTGCTTTGTTTGGGCTCTCGGGCGAAACTCAATTTCTTATAGGACAACGCCTGAATCGGCTGGCGGGCGTGCGTCGTCACCACCTGCGCATCCTCACCCAGGCAGGATTTGTAGTCCGCGCGCAAGCGAGCTGCAGAACAGCGGCGCTTGACCAACAAGCCTAGTTACTCGCACTTTTGGGGAGGGTGCCAGTGCTACCGCGACAGAGCCTGCCGCGTGACTGTGCCCTGGCGTGCCGTGCCGTGCCGGCGTCTGCGGAAGGCGCCACGCTGGACGATCCCCGCTTGGTTGGCGGCCCACGCCCCAGCCTCATTGTGCAAGAAACCTTAATTCCACAACCCCTGCAACAAAATCGTCGCTCCTACAGCTACCCCACTAATTATTGTCGATTTAGAGGCTGCGCACTGCCACACGAAGAGGGGACATTCTAGCTTGAGCTAGCTTCGGCGCCATTCCGGCTCCAACTCGCGACTTCCAAGGTCACATTGGGTAGCTCACTCCACGAACCCTGCGCGTCTACAACTGTGCCGTAGCCTTACCTTCATGAGAGGGTTCACAAATGACTCTTGCGACTTAACACGTCAGCACTACTAAGTAGACATTCGTGCTAGCTGTTCTACCTGTGCTCAATGCAGGCCGCTGGCTACCAGATGCCCACGTACTCTGCATACTTTCCTCACATCTACTTGATGTTCATTGTTCTGGTATAGCCTACCAAGAGCATGGAAACGACCCACTAACACGCCTCTTTCAAGGTTTGTGAGAGGCCGCTGGCTGTGTCGATAGACGTGTGGAGCCTTCTTTGCCACAACCCACTTCTTCATCACAACCCTTTGATTGGCTATAACCCTGCTAGACCTAGCTCTACATGAGTGGACGACAGTACAAAAATCGACGTGGACTACATGTCTGCCTGCCTTCTTCTTCGCTTATCCTTTCAAACTCTCTACTGCATCTATTCGGCGTATCCAGTCACGCTACAGCCCTCTGAGAATGGAATCCTTCCGCGATGCACTGCTAAGCCCGTTTCCCAAGGGCCCATCGGACATCACAAAGTTAGACGACAGCACTCACGACCGGCAGAACGTCCGTGAATGCATCGCCCGCGGGGAGATCGAGCAGCTTCGCCTCGGAGCCTTTACCAACCGAACCTGGATCATCAGTGACCGGTATTGTGCTGTTGGCGACGGAGTCGATTCTCTTGAAGGCTACCTGCATTCTATTTGGCACATCTACTATCAGCTTGGTCGGCTGGCGTCTCATGAAAGCGCTGACCAAGACCGCCTGGTCCTGGATATCGTCCGCATCCAGGGACTTGGCCCCCTAACTAGGCCTGTGTCAGGAAACTACGGCATCGATATCGCACGAACAGTGCAAGGCACGCTGTGGAATGACCTTCCCTTCCTGGCCACGGACATGACGGATTTCTGGATCAACAATTGCGCGCCAATGTCCGGTGTTCATCGCCTCAACTTGGCCTCCTTCTTAGCCAAGCTGGCGTCAACCCGCGTGGCCAACCACAAGATCTGTCAGATCGCTCTCGTCTTGTTTCGCTCCACATTTGAGGAAACACGAGCCCTTTGCAGCCCGGAGACGCCAGACGAGGAAGATCTATCTCGTGACATCCGCAGCCTTACAGTTGCGGATTTGCTGCCAGCTGCTTGCGCATGGATCAAAGAGGCCAACTACTGCCTCATCCAGTTATCCGACGCTTTCTGGAACGACTGCCCAGGCACGCTCAGTCAGGGTGGTCAAAAATTTGTTGAATCTGAGCTAGGAATGCGTTCGCCAATTGGGTTTACGCCGTGGCGATGGATGTACTGGCTGAAGCGTCTGCATGAGATTCGGGATGAGGCACACGCCGCCCATGAGGAGCGCCTGGAAGAGCACGCTACTGATGCCATCGAGCGCATGATCAATAACGTCAAAGAACGCAACGCCGGTATCCTGCGAGCATATCAGAGCGGTGGGCCTGATCTACATCAGGATCCACATCTACTGTGCTTAGTTACGTAACCCCATAGTATACAATAGCGCCAGACTGGGTTGGTTCTCCAGCCTGTGTCGTAATGCAATGCATGATGTTCCCAAAGTGTGTTTTGTCTCTATGCCCATCTCGCCTCGACCAACTTCGTCAAAGGCTATGAATGTACCCCACTAGTGTGGTTAGGGGTCTTGATGGTTAATGCAGTAAGGGGCCATCCCTAAGTTGAAATTGAAAAGCTGGAAGTAAAACGATACTGCAAGCTTGATCTCAATCGCATCCTGCACCGAGTCTCTCTTCCATGCGCATGGGGCACAGCTAACGCCAGGTCCAAGGGACAGTAGCTACGCCACATACCAGAACGACCTCGGGACCCGCCAAGTAGCCGAAGATGTCACGCGGCGCTTGATGATTGGTATCTACCTAGGCAGATAGTTGATAATGCAAACTCAGAGACAGAGTTTTCTCCCCATTCTCTGCATGCATGCGGCACAGGCTCACCTGCCACCACTCTGACGGGTCCAAGATGCGCTGCAACGTCCCCAGACAAAGTTTCTTCTTCCGATAGGGGATACGAGCGTCTGGAAGGACAGGATCACTAAAGCTTTCCAAGGCGTACACCCTATGCACTGATGAGCATACCGTTCCCTATAAAAGGTAGGTCTCCAATCCTACAGACCTGAGGCCATTCCATCGACAGCACCGTCTTCCACATAAGCTTGACCATCTCTTCTACCACATCCCGCTCTCTTTTGCAACCTGATTCGCGAAAGACTTTTACTATGAAGATCACTGCAGCTACCGCTTTCATCTTTGTCGCAATGGGCGTTGTAGCCACCCCGATTGAGTCTCAGCTAGCCAGCTATCAGGCTAGAGACAACCTCATGGCTCGTTTCGAGCACCCCGGGGTAAGTAGACGTTCACGCCCTGCATCAAAGTAACCTCACATCTGCCTCACTACTAACTGCTCTGCTTCTTCCTAGAAATGCACCAAAGCTACAAACGAGTGCAAATACACTGTCAGCGGGAAGACTCGGTTGGTCAAATGCTCGACGAATGTAGCCGCGAATTACAGGGTAGGTAGTACTCCATACCCACAGTATCACTTGAAGTTACATATGGACTAACATCGCTCTCTTCTTGGACAGTGCACGAAGGACAACAACTCTTGTACTTACGATGACGCTAAGGAGGTGGCCAAATGTACATAGACGGCTTTGCGCTGTGTCTTACGCGCCTCTCTCCTTTGCTTGCGGTTGGGGTAGCAACACGCAAGAAATTGTACAGCTCTCGAAGTCGGCTACATCACTCTCTAGATAGCCCACAACAATCAATGCTTACTTTTATATGGCTTTAACCCTGTTGCTAGATACTCTACCACTTGCATGAACTCAGACCAAGACAACATCAATGTAAACGTGAAGGATGACAACTAAAGTTTTCCTTTTCCTAGAGAAGATATCTGGGACCCGACAACGAGCGCAAGGGTCAGCAGCGTGACTCCATAACACTTAAGCGACCAGCCCCGAAGAACTCTAAGAGAACTAGAGTCATTGCGAGCGCTTAAGTCGAAGGCAGTTTATGCCATACTTCTCCGCCCACAACGCCTTACCCTCGACATCTGGAACGTGGTATCTGGATGAGTCACTGGATCCGACATACAGCAACAACGTAACGTCTTGCCCCGAGGCCGGAAGTGAGTGTCGATTGAGAAACAACGTAGTGTTAATGTACATCGCAAATGTGATCATACAATCTCGTCCAATGTGTAATTCCGTCCGACCACTTCACAACGCACTTCCCGTATTAGAAACGGTATAAAGCGTAGCAGTACTTTTTCGTTTCCTTCAACTAGCAAGTCAACATT